GTGCCAATAATTCTGACCACGACTGTATATATATATATATTTTTTTTTTTTTTTCTCTCTCACAAACTAAACGAGCACATTTCATTACGCACTTTATTATTCAATGTGGTAAATCAGTGATTTGATTACTGTACAATTGAGGTGCATTGTTATCTCTGAACATGTAATTTACACTATATACAGTATTATACAGTAGGGACTGGATCACGTACATGGAACTATGGCACAAGCTTTTTGTAATGATTGTGTTGGCATGGCACATCTGATTTGGAAGGGCACCATGTGTTGCAAAATCCTGCCCTATGGCCCTGTGCAGGTACAAACCTCACTGTTCTCCCCTGCCATGATTAAAGAGCAGCTCAGCTAATGTTCAGCCTTCGGGTAAAAGTCGTCTCTCCGATCTGAAATTTTAAGACACCAGACGAGTGATGTTTAGAGTGTCGTATACTAAACATACACATCTGACTATTAACCTGTCGAGGGCCATTCTTTGGCACTAAACTAATACAGATCCCTGCTGACATTCATGATATATTTACCACTTCATCTCAAAGACGAAAGCTTGACATTCTGGAGTGAATCTAAGAGAGGATGGTCCAGTTTTCCTAGTCTCAGAGTATGAATATGTAAAAAAAAAAAAAAAAAAACACTACATTCTAGGAAATACCTAGCGTTTTTTTTTGTGCATTTAATAGTATTATTTGTTTGATTATTATTACATTTATTTGTTAATGTTTTTTTATATTCCATTAAGGTGTTAGAAACATTTGTTCTTTTCAACAACACAATTACATTTTGTGTATGTATATAGATAGGTAATTTACCATGATTACAGCAGTAAATGACTGTCACCCTTGGCTCAGGACTCATTTACATGCTGATGTAAAATGGAAACATAAATATGGACAATATCTGGTAAGACTTTTGAGTAAATTAGCTGGGTCTTATGAACAAATGGCCTTTAATCTTGTACTTGCGTCACAGATCAGCCTTAATCAACCTGATAAAAGCACTAAGTGTTGTTTGGTTCTATATAAACAACCATTTCCTTAAGTCTGGAATTTCAACAAGCTTTTACAATTAATTTTTTTTCAATGTTGTCAATTTTCGATTTCAAGAAAATTATTTGTGTAAGTGCATTTATGACCTTCTGAAATTTATAGCATGTGGTCAAATCCCCGAAAAAACTTTTTGTTTTGTTTTACTTTTTACAAATCCTGTTCTAATTTTGATGTACAAAGTTACGTGTTAAAGTGTCAAGTGTGTGGTATAATTAATAAATAACAATGTATTTGTATTGGTAACATTTTTTGCATTTATCCTTTTACACATTCATCTTCCATGTGTGAAATTACATTTGCGTTCTTGTTTTATCCATCTGCTATGTTGTGTCTGTTACAGTGTGGTCTAAATAAAAATACACAAAAATGTGTCATTCTTATTTTTTTCACTGATGTACCAAAATGATGTTTTTCCTTGCAGCAACAGTGTCTTACTAATTATGATGGACTATTGTTTTTGCTGTGTGCAAACCAGAACTTTATAGATTCTATAAAGATTCCCCCTCCATAGCCGGGTGCTTAGAATCGTCCTATGCGATTTATTTCCCAGCAGTTTACCTCCACAGACATAACCAACTGTTTTTGTAACTCGTGTGTTTTTAACGTAGACTTGTGTGTGAATGAGAACTTCGTTTAGTACTCACATGCTGTGACAGCAGCTTTCTGTCCATGTGCACTCAGAAAACCTTATATCAGAAGTTTAAACTAATATGGTTTAAAACACATGATTTCAGCGCGATAAACATGATAATCAGAACCAAAACGTTTTTTAGCAGGTACGAGCTGTAATGGCGCAGCTCGATTCTGGAAAAGGGGGCGGGGAGCAGCAGCTCATTTACATTTAAAGAGACAGGTACGAAAAACATTGTGTTTCTGCTTCCACTCAAAATAGGCATTTTGAAAATGATATAATAAATTATCTGTGGGGTATTTTGAGCTGAAATTTCACAGACACATCCTGGGGACACCAGAGCCTTATATTACATATTGTAAAAAGGGGCATAATATGTCACCTTTAAATCAGCTCTGTGTGTCTCTATTTATGTAAGTTTATCTGTCTAACCACAGCAAAAATCCCACATAGACTTCCTTCTATTTATGACACAATGACCATTGTCCATCCAACTTCACAGCACGGCTACATAGTAAGATCAGTCAGGTTGTTTGACTTTCACGTTGGGAATAGCAAACAAATTCAGGCCGTAAATATACAGTGTGTGTGTAATTAATGATTAGACTTTAATCCCCGCAGCAGCCTGCGACACAGTGCTTCAATTGTCCTAGAAAACCTCCATACATCCACACAGCCAGATGTAATAACAAACAGCTCTTCTCTCATAAAACACACAGCTAAACGATCCAACCTTTATCCTCAGCACTGCAATCAGCGGCCCTCCACGCCCTCAACACCGTTAATAATTCACCAGGGCCAAGCGCCCAACTGCTGAGATAAAACATACAATCAGTCTGGAATAAAGACATATAGTCTGACCAACAGCTTCTGCATTTATCAAAACTAGCTAATTCTGTTATTTACAGCAAAAATAAAGCAGCAATCTTATCAAACAGCTTCAAACAAAGAGGTAAAATGCTTAAAACTAAATAATTAAGCATACACTATGCAAATGTAAATGCTTATAGCTATGCAAACTCAATTTCACAATTAAATTTTTCTTTTAGGTAAACTAGTACTGACACAGCACAGCA